GGCCCGGGCTGGATTCGAACCCGCCACCTTAGGTGCATGTGGCTGGTGCCTTAGCCACTTGAGCCACAGGCGCCGAGCCTGTATATACTATTTCACAAGAATCACAGACCTCGCCTGTGATCCTGTAAGTAAGGATCCTGGCCTGTACTGCACCTTAGTCTTAGTATAATTTTTGGGTCTCCATGCAAAATGAAACTGCAGGGCTCCTTGTTCAAAGAATTTCAAGATAGCAACAGAAGAATATTAACTAAGCATGGGGTCCTCTGTGACTACACAAGTTACACAACCACAAAGCTGACTCTGCATCTTACCCTTCCCTCTGGCTCTTTCACTACTATCTTTTTTTTTAGTATATGTGCTGCCAAGGCAAGCACTTTTTTTTTTTGAGACAGAGTCTCATGTTGCCCTCAGTAGAGTGTCATGGCGTCAAAGCTCACAGCAACCTCAAATTCTTGGGCTTATTCTCTTGCCTCAGCCTCCCAAGTAGCCAGGACTATAGGCACCTGCCACAATGCCCAGCTACTTTTTTTTTTTGGTTGCAGTCGTCATTGTTGTTTAGCTGGCCCAGGCCGGGATTGAACCCATCAGCCTTGGTGTATGTGGCTGGTGCTGTAACCACTGTCCTACAGGCGCCGAGCCTTTTTTTTTTTTGATAGAGTCTCAAGACCCTCTAGGTAGAGTGCTGTAGCATCATAGCTCACAGCAACCTCCAACTTGGGCTCAAGCAATCCTCTTGCCTCGGTTTTGTAGAGATGGCAGTCTCACTTTTTGCTCAGGCTGGTCTCAAACTTGTGAGCTCAAGCAATCAGCCTCCCAGAGTGCTAGGATTATAAGTGTGAGCCACTGCGCCCAGCCTCACTACCATCTTTATGTCAGTCATTCTTATATCTGTCTCTTGCTGCAATTTGTTCCCAATTTCAGAGACAGCTGTCCAGGGAGCTGCTGAAACTCTGTATGGTTGTCCTTGTAGTGTCTCAAACTCAGTGTCTCCAAAATGGAGCTCACTTACACCTTAACCCCCTCTCCTCTGCCCTCTAACTCCTAGTTCCTCATCATCCTTCCTCACCTGCAACTCTTCTTTCTCTTTATACCCATCCATTTGGTGACCAAGTCCTATTGATTCCCTCCCTCAAGTCCCTGCCTCCTCTCCTTTCTGACTGCCATCCCCTCAGGATGCTTTACACTCCGCAAGTACTACTGGCCCCCAAATTCAGCTCCTCTGGCCTTGGCACATCTCTCCCAGCCTCCTTTTCCCAAAGGACCACCCTAATTATGTCGCTTCCACTGGCAGAGACCTTCAGTGACTCTCACTGCCTACAGAATTGGGCTCAAACTCCTTTGCCTGGCATTTAAGGTCCTTTGCAGTGGGGTTCCAAACCTTCTCTTTCGTGCTCATCTCTTACCCCTCCTCTTCATGTCCCTGAGGTTTCAACCCAACTGTAGAACCATCTGGTCCCTTAATGGGCCTAGTGTTTTTTTCTGCATTTTAAAATTTGAACTGCCTGTTCATGGTCCCCAGAGTTTATAACTTGCTTACTCCACTATAGACATGTAATTTCTCTGGACCTTTCACCAAAGCTACTGCACATGGCCCTGCTCATTGTGTCCTCTCATTTCTTCTCCTGTCTCTCTTCCTCTTCCCCCCATCCTTATTGGAAGTGGAGCCTCAGATGCAAAGCTGGATAAAATTACCATTATCAAGCTGATGTGAGTAGAAGCTCAGCACTGTTGCTTACTGGGTGACCTCAGGCAAGTTACTTACACTCTGATTCTTCTAGTGTAAACTAGGTAGTAACCATTTATATAGTCTTTAAAGAATTAACAGATAGGCTTGGCACCCGTGGCTCAGTAGTTAGGGCATGGGCCACATACACTGGGGCTGGCAGATTCTAACCCGGCCAGGGCCTGCTAAACAAGAATGACAACTACAATAAAAAAAAAAATAGCCAGGCGTTGTGGTGGCACCTGTAGTTCCAGCTACTTGGAAGGCTGAGGCAAGAAAATCACTTAAGCCCAAGAGTTGGAGATTGCTATGAGTGGCCACTTCACTTGAGGGTGACATAGTGAAACTCTGTCTCAAAAAAAAAAAAAAAAATTAGCAAAGTGTACGAAGACCTAGATAATGCCATTATTCATATTGTCATAAGCACCCATGTTGGGTTGGTCCCCCTTGACTCTTGCCTAGCTGCAGGGACTTGAGTGACATCTTATTCCTCTTTCCATCAAGTTCTGGAAGGCTGTGTAGGGTAGGGTGGAAGCCTGGCTTTCAGGTGCTCAGGTAGCTGTATTGTATGTCTAGGGGTGAGGGGAGCTGCTGCCTCTGCTCCCTTTGTTCAGACTCATGGCTCAGGCAGCAGCAGGCGTGGGCGTCCCCAGGGGAGGCGGTGACAGCTTCAGTACTCACACGGGCTTTGCAGGTGACAGCTGGGGCTATGGGGCCCTGTCAAAGGAGATGCAGGCAGACCCCATCATGCCCCAGCAGTCGTGCCCCCTGGTGGATATGGGGCCCCAGTAGACGTGCCCCCTGGTGGATATGGGTCCCACCTTGAACTAGCCCAAGTCAAAGCTGAGTAGCTGTGAGAGCTAAATGTAGCCTCCAGCCTGCTCCCTGCAGGTTAGGGTGGGGTAAGGAGAAGGGGCCCAGAGTCCACAGACTTGGTCGTAAGTTACAGATTAATTCTAGCAGATCTCTATTCCTCCCCAGAAGTGTTCTCTCATCAGCAAATGCATGACCAATCAGGTTCAGAGCCTCTCCTCTGGGCCTGTTTTCTCATCTGTGACAGCAGTTTCCATCGACAGCCATCCCTTTTCTGGGGCTGAGAGAGCAGATAAAGTGAAAAGATGGAGTAGAAAAATTCTTTATTGAATAGGGAAGGAGTGCCCTTTTGCTGGTGCCTCCTGGGTCCTGGCCAAAGGGGGTTGCCACCTCTGGGCTCTTCATGCCGGCATCTGAACGCAGAAATTCTGTCAACACCTTACCTTTAATAACCTTAAAGGGAAAGTGCATACAGGCATGGTCAATCCCAGAATCAAATTTCAAGAACAGCCTTCCAGCACCTTGCTTTTTAAGAACTTCTTAAAGGCAAAGTGGATACGTGGAGCTGGAACGTATTCTGCATAGTCCTTTAAAGAAGTGTTTCCATGCCTTTCTTTACCTTTAAGTATCTCTTAAAGGAGAGGCATATTCACGCAAAGTACAAGGCGGTGAACTCTGCCAAGGAGTCTACGAAGCACTTTTCCAGTTCTCGCCTTTAGGATTTCTTTACAGGAGAGGTGGCCAAACGCAGATTAATAAAAACCAAAATACTTTGCAGAACTATTTTTCTTCCTGACCTGCCAGAACCCGCCCCGCCCACCGGCCGCAGAGCGCCCGCCCACAGGTTTGCGTCCTAGCCTCCTGGGCGCCCAGGGCCAGACGTGGCAGGAGGATACAGCCCACTGGCCCAGGCTCGCCCCCGCAGCCACACTGGGGCATCCTGGGAGGTTTTGGTTTCCTAGACGGCCTCAACAGAGAAAGCCAGACGGGGCGGGGCGAGGGTGCGAGCTAAGGGCGCGGTGACCATGGCTACCGCAGTGGCCATGGCGACCGCAGCTCAGAGCACGGAGAGGTCATGACACGACCTGGAACGCTGCTTGAAGAACTTTGCGTTGCGCGGCACGAGGTTCGCGAGGAAGCGCTTGGCCTTCTTGGTGAGGCTTTCTCGGCGCGCCGGTGGCGCGGGGCCCTCGGGGCTGCCCAGCGCCTGCCGCTGGCCTCCAGCTCGGCTCCGACCCCGCCGCAGCCGGATCTGGCGCACAGCGCCCTCGAAGAGCTCCCGCGTGTTGTGGTGCAGAGCGGCTGATGTCTCGATGTGCTTGCAGCTCAGCGTCCCGGCCAGGTGGCGGCCCTCTGTAGGAAGGGACCGGCTCAGGCGCCCACTGGGCTGCACTGGGCCCGGGGCGAGGGTGGCCCTGGGGAAGTCGCGGGCGGGAGGTGGAAAGGGATTGGGACTAAGGAATCTGGAAACAGAGATCAAGGCTGAGATGAGAAGGAAAGGGGGAAAGGGGTCTTGGAGGAGAGGTGAGGAGGAGTGAAGAGATTCTCAGGTTCCTAGGAGTGGAGCAATTGGGGGTTAGCCTGGGGTTAAATGCCAGTTAGTTTGTGAGAATAAAAAGGCCTTAGAGAGAAGAGATGACCTGGAGGTGAGACTTTTTTTTTTTTTTGCTTTCCAGTAGAGAATTGGTTTAGAATACACACCCTCCAGTGATACTTCCCGGGAGCGGGCCAGGTCACTCTTGTTACCAACGAGGATGACAGGTAGGTCATGGTGTGGCCTCCCAGCCCGGAGCCGAAGTAGGGTCTCTGGAACTTTGGAGAAGCTTCGGCGGTCAGTGACTGAGAAGACGATGAGAAAGGCATCTCCTGTCTGAAGGCAGTGGTCCCGTAGCCACCCTCCAGCATCCCCCTACAGACAGGCGGAGAGAGTTGTGAAATGTTAGGGCTGGAGGAATAGGTGGTCTTGTCCAGCACCTAGACCTTATAAAGATGAGGGCTGTGAGGGAGAAGGAAGGCATTTGCTTAGGACAGAAAAGCTAATTAATGGCAGACTCTCTTTAATCCTCCCCCCCCCCTTTTTTTTTGAGACAGGGTTTTGCTCTTTTGCCCAGGCAGTGGTGTGGTTATAGCTCACTCAATCTCCTGGGCTTAAGTTATCCTTCTGCATTAGCCTCCCAAGTAGCTCAATCTGCAGGAGTGCGTACCACCAACACCAGCTATTTTTTTTTCTTTTTTTTTGGAGAGACATGGATTCTGCTATGTTGTCCAGGCTGGACTTGAACTGCTAGCCTCAAGCAGTCCTCCCAGTTTGGCCTCCCAAAGTGCTGGTGTGAACCACTGCACCCAGCCCAGAATCTCCATACGCAGCACATTTGTGGAGGAGGAAGTTAGTAATGTGAGCCCCACCTGGGAGAGGGGCTTTTAGATCAGTAAAGCTTTAAGCTCATGCTTAAGCTCTTCATGAATAAAATGAATGCTCTTCAGGGTGGCGCCCATAGCTCAGTGGGTAGGGCACCGGCCACGTACACTGAGGCTGGCGGGTTCAACTAAAACAACAATGACAACTGCAACAAATAACATAGCCAGGCATCGTGGCAGGTGCCTATGGTCCCAGCTCCCAGCTACTTGGAAGGCTGAGGCAAGAGAATCACTTAAGCTCAAGAGTTGGAGGTTGCTATGAGCCATGACACCATGGCACACTACCCAGGGTGACAGTTTGAGATTCAGTCTCAAAAAAA